GCTGCGCCCACCCCCATGCTCTCCTAGGGACCATGCATCTGTCCTTTGATGGCTAGGGTCATGGTGAAGTGGGCTGCATATAAACTCTCACAGTTGCTCAGATCTACAAGGAAAATCCTGCCCACGTGTCCCACCAGGAAGGAGCAGCTCTGAGCCAGAGTCCCAGTGGTAAAGACACTTACCCCAGAGTTCCTCTGGGCCAGGAAATGGGTAGTTGAGTATAAGAAGTATCTCTTCAAGGTTTTCTTCACAGATACCCTCCCTGGGCATCACAAGTCCATGGCCCTCTCACTGGGACAGCAACTGCCGACCAGGGTCTCCAGGAAGAAGGGAAGAGCAGGATGCATGTTCCCTGCCCAGGGACCCTACAGGACTCTCCGGAGCCCCCTCCCTTCCCTGTCCCTGTAGTGCCATGCCCCATTTCTCTCTTTCCTGTCCCTCCAGTCCTATTCCTGCCCATTCTCTGACTTATGGCCTCTTGTCTCTCTCTCTAATCACAGGGTCTTGAGCTTACAAACACCCACTGAGTCAGACGCTGCCAGGGCTCAAACTGGGGCTCCCCCCGACTTCTCTCTTCTCCATCCATTTTTGTCCCCTCTTCTTTTCTGTTTGTCCCTCCACGTCCCCCCACACTCCACATACACACACACACACACACACACACACACACACACACACACGCAGAGTCTACCATTTGCAAACACCCACAGAGCCAGGCTCTGCCTGGGTTCTGAGCTGGGCATTCCTGCTGAAGCTGGGGAAAACCGTGTCATAGGGGCTTGTGAGCTTGTGATAGGGGGTCCTGCTGAGGCAAAAACCTCCCTCGGGGAACTGAGCATACAGGCAACACACCCCCTGCAGGCCACTAACCCCTTTCCTTTGGAACAACTCTCTTTAAGGATGGCTCCCCCCACAGGGGAATTCCTGAAGCCAACAGTTGACAAACCCACACACCCTCTGAGGGCTGGGCACCAGATAAAAAGCCCTCCTTAAAGCCAGCCCTCCTGGGGACGGTGTGGGACCCAGCAGGGCAGACCTGCCGCTGTCACCACCGCCTCTGAGATTGATCCTGATACCCGCACAGGGCAGAGGACCTGACCTCCTGTAGGACCCAAGGCTGACTGACCCCTGCCGAATGCTGGGGTCACCGGGGACACTCACTCCAGCTGAGGGCAGAGCACGAGCAGTGGACCGGCAGAGCACCTGCCCCTGTCACTAGCTCCAGGTCTGCCAAGGTCACCTGCCCTGAATCCCGAGAGCGGCAGCACTTAGCCGACATCTGCACCCAAGAAAAACTGGTTTTCTAAGTTTTTCTGGTTTGTTCTCAGCGCACCGATGAAGGCTCTATTTCTGTCTCTCCGTTGGGAGGGTGAGCTTTGCCAATGACTAATCCCAGCCCTGAAGATTGATACCCTTGTCACCTGCACGTGGGACCCAAGCCCAGCAGGGAAGTGAAGATAAGCCCTTGCCTGCAGCTGAAACCCCAGCCTGCCAGGGCCACCCGGCCTTTTGCTGCTGCAGAACAGCTAGGGGCTGCCATTGCTGCCATTGCTGCCATTGCTGCCAGGGCCACCTCTGTGCTCCTGCAGACACTGAATCACAGTGACCACCTGGGGCCCAGACTGGCCCTCACAGGGAATTAGTGGTGGCTGCCTCTGCAGGAGAGTGGAGCCCCTGGATGGATCTTGGGACCCGAGCCCCTCATGTCTGCCCTGCTGACGCTGTGTGTGGCGCTCTTGCTTCTGGGTACCCCTGGCTGTGGCGCCCAGCACTGGGAGCCCTGCACAGGTAAGGTGGCCACATGGGGACCTGGGTAGGGTAGCTTTTGTGGATTTGGAGGGGAATGGGTTCGGACATGACACTTCTGGGTACCAAATCACTGCATGTGATAGGATTGTGGCTCCTAGACAGCTGGATGGGCGGTGGGGTTGCGGGGGACAGGGGGATACAGTAGAGGGGGGCTGTGCAGACAGTTACAATAGAGGTCTCTCTGAGCTGCCAGAGGTGGGAGGAGTCTCAGGTTTCAAAGAGCTACCAGCAGCCATCGAGGCCTCGCATGTACTTACCTGCTTGGCTGCCGGGGAAGGCCGAGCACCTGCTTCAGGAATGAAGTCCCCGGCCCTCGGGCTCCTGGCATGGAGATGAGCTATCCAACCTGCACTTAGCAAAGCTCTGGGCCGCCACGGGCCTGGCTCTGTCCCCAGTTGAAGAAGAAACACAGGCCCAGCCCCAAACACACCCACAACCCACACCTGGGTTCAGCCTGGAGCTCCCCAGGGTGGGCTCACTGCTTCCTTCTCTTCTAGAGAGGCCACCTGGGAGCACTAGTGACCACGACATGCTGTCCCAGGGTTCCCCACAAGAGATTCTATTTGTCAAGTCATAGTTCATGGGATAAAGAAACAAGACAGTTGAATCTGGTACCCAGACCTCCCGGGGGACTGCAAGTTGGTGATGGGGACCCCCGGGACAAGTGGTGACGGGCGGCTGTGGCTGCATATGCCTGCCTCCTCCTCGGTTGCCTGGAAGTGTGAGGCTCCTTCACGGGCTGGGCCGTTGCTCTCTGTGACACGTCCGGGAGGTGATCCCGTGACCCGGGTTTGGAGCACTGATGTACATGGCTGGTGCAATTTACAACCTAACCACACAGAAGTGATTGGCTGTGAGTTCCAGCAATCGATAGATCACGGGCTGCGAGTGAGAAGGCCCTGGGGCCCTGATACAGGACCACAGTGGGAATCTGAGATGGAACAGGAGCCCCCTGGCCCCTGTATCCTGCTCTCCACAGCCGCACTTTCAATGATGGATCTGAATGTGGGGCTTCGCCAGCTGAATGTCGCTATGTCGGTTGTCACTGTACAAATCCCCTGGCTCCAAGCAATGGCACCTGGGTGCCAGCCTTTCCCCCTCTTATGCGGGGCCACCCCATGCAGGTGAGTGTGTCAGTGAGCCTTAGAAGGACCTTGTGCAAGCCTGGCTGGGTGTCATGAGTGAGAGCCACCGTGCTTCCGGGACCGGGATGAGTCACGGACATGTGCTTTCCTGTTCTCGAGCCTGGGGAACACAGCCGACCTGTACATGATAATAAAGGTTATTTATAAAGCCCGCCCCCTCTCCCTTGGAGGTATGTTTCAAATAGTTAAAAGATGACCCAGTTACAAACATGGTGAACCAGGGAGGAAATATAAAAGTCAGGCTGATATTATGGTGTTACATCGTAAGACGCTTGAGAGGCCAGCGAGGGTTGGCCCAGGTTTAAGTCCCTGTGGTTCTATTCTGTGTGGAGCATTGAGTAGTTCTGGGCTTCTATGAGGGCTCCCTTTCACCTTCCCCTGGCCTGGGCTGCTGTCTCAGCAGGTGGGAAGCCGGGGGGGGGGGTGAAGCTTCCATAAGCATTCATAGCCCTCACTCTTGGCTGTAGAGGTGACCCAGGAACACCTCTTGTCAAGTGCTTCCTGGTGCTTAATGTGCAAACGAGGTGACAAGATGGGGGTCTGGTATCCCACAGGAAATATCTTGGTTGTTATCCACAGCTGTCCCTGTGGGGGTCTGGCATACTGTGTTCTGGGGACTTTCTGAGAAGGGCCGGTGGCTTCACTCTCCAGCAGGTGACCATCAGTGAGGCTCTCAGGGGCCCCCAGGTCACTGGACTCACATACTGTGGAGTACAGGCTGGGGTAGGGGTTCCGTCATAGAGAGTCATGGGCATCCCAGATACCAGGTGAGTGAACTCCCAGGGGTGTTCTGGCTCCTAGTGGGAGCTGACAGGAAGGTCCCCAGGAGAGTGGGCGGGCAGGGGCAGGGTGCCACCTGTCTTCACAGCCCTGGAAGGCAGGAAGGTTTGGTGTCTGGGCAGGAGCAACATTCCCAAGGTGCCTTTTCCCCACCGGGCATGGTCCAGGCCTGCTGAGGGTTAGAGGTCCTTGGGGCAGGCTCCTGGGGGGTTAGGGTTCACAGCTTCCCCACTGGGCATGGTCCAGGCCTGCTGAGGGTTAGAGGTCCTTGGGACAGACTCCTGGGGTGCTAGGGTTCACAGCTTCCTGGGGTGACAGCCTGGGAAACCTGCTCACTTCCACCCTGCTGTCTCCTGCATGGGCAGAGTAGGGCTCAGAGCTCAGAGGACACTGGTGTGGGGGTGGAGAGGGACAGCAGCCCAGAACATGGCTATGGCTGAGAGGACATGGCATGCTTGGGGCTCTGGAAATGTGGGTGGCATCCAGGCTGACCCAAGGGAGAGAGAGAGAGAGAGACAGACAGACAGACAGACAGACAGACAGAGACAGAGACAGAGAGAGACAGAGACAGAGAGAGACAGAGACAGAGACAGAGGCAGAGACAGAGACAGAGAGAGAGAGCAGGTGCAGGCCCCAGACCCCAGAGGGCAGATTATGAAGCGCCTGCCATTCAGCTTATTTCTCTTTGATACCTTCCCCTGGCCTCCAGGCTGTGCTCTTCATGGGGACACAGATCTACAGGTTGGGGCATTTGAATAGAGTAGTACAGGAGCCTGCTCGGGAGGCACTATGCTCTGCCTATGCCACACTTCGACTGGCCTCTCCTGTCCCTGAACACTGGCAGTCAACCAGGGACAATGAGACCTGGGGACTAAGGGTTCTCTTGCCGGGGACCAGTCTGTCTGCCAGCCACCAGCCCCAGTCCACTGGGGACTCCAGGCAGAGGTGAGACAGTTCATGTCCTGGGGTTCATCTGGAAATGCTCTCAGGACATCTGGCCCTTGCTTGAGGCAGGAAGAGGGACACTCAAAGGCCAGGATGAGAGGTTTTATTAATGGCATTGGGGAAAGCAGAGGATGCTGGAAGGTTGGAGTGCTACCAGGCCTTAATAGGAAGCGGCAGGGGTGGGGGGTGGGCACCAGCTGTTGGGGTGTGACATCAGAGCTATCATCTATGATGGTGCCAAAGCTGATACTGCAGACAACCCCTCAGGTCACTGTGAGGCAAGGAAGGAACTGAGCTCTGGGACCCCACAGGACAAGACCATCAGCAGCTGCACTTCTGGGCTGAGGAGAGGCCACAGCAGGCCTGGCGGGAGCAGGCAGGGCGGCAGAGCAGGGACACGCTGGAGCAGGGCTTGCAGCAGCTGGGCTGGCAGGAGGAGGCACAGCAGGAGGAGGTGGGCACACAGCAGGCGGGTCTGCACACAGGGCGGCAGAGCAGGGACACGCTGGAGCAGGGCTTGCAGCAGACAGGCTTGCAGCACACAGACACACAGCAGGATGGCTGGCAGCATGAGGGCTGGCAGCTAGACTGCTGGCATCATGAGGACCCAGAGCAGATGGGTGTGCAGCAGACAGGCTTGCAGCAAAGAGTCACAGAACAGGGTGAGGAGGTGCAGCATGAGGGCTGGCAGCTAGACTGCTGGCAGCATGAGGAGGACCCGGAGCAGATGGGTGTGCAGCAGACAGGCTTGCAGCAGACAGGCACACAGCAGGAGGACTGACAGCATGAGGGCTGGCAGCTAGACTGCTGGCAGCAAGAGGAGGACCCAGAGCAGATGGGTGTGCAGCAGACAGGCTTGCAGCACAGGGTCACACAGCAGGACTGCTGGCAGGGGGAGCAGGTGCAGCAAGCTGGCTGACAGCTAGACTGCTGGCAGCATGAGGGTGTGCAGGAGCTGGTGCAGGAAGATTGACAGCAGGGGCTGGACACACAGCTCACTGGGGTGCAGATGAGGGTCAGGCAGGGGGCTGGGGCACAGCATCTGGGGACACAGTAACTTGGGACACAGCAGCTGGGCTCACAGCAGCTCTCTGGGCAGTCGTCCACCCAGGAGGAGTCAGTACAAGAATCACAGGACCCGGGCAGGCAGACCCGGCTGTCGTAGCTCAGGTCACTGGAGCAGATGGACATGGTGGAGGTGGCCATGGTGGGCAGGTCTGGTAGCTGTGCGTAAGTGTGTGTGTGCGTGAGTGTGTGTGAGTGTGTGAATGTGAGGGGCTGGCTGCCAGCTTTTATACCCTGCACTTTTTATACCCTGTGTTGTTGGTGCAGGCGGCTTTTCACAGCAACGCTTTCCTTGTTGGTGTTTGGAGCTGGTTCCTGGAGAGCCCTCATCAGCAGGAAGATGCTACTTTACTTGTAAAGGTCCTAGCTGTGTGTTGTGCTAAGCCTGTGTGTTGTCCCTGGCCAGCTCTACTGATGGGTAGGAGACAGTGGCTGTCAGGTGCTGGGCTCCTTTGGATCCATGCTGCTGGGAAGCCCAGCTATTTGAGTGGTCTGAGTTGGCCATGCCTGTCCCCTTTCTCTTTTAAGTTTGCCATCAGTCCTTGCGGGTGAAGGTGGGGATGAGTCCAAAGACTGTGATGGGCTTTCCTTGGGTCTGGATGGAGACACTCATCCTGGGGACTCAGTAGCTCATGCCTCTTCCTCTACCCATTGCTACCCTTGCTCTGGTGGTGAAGGGTCTGAGGCAAGGCTGGGGCGGACCTGTGCCTAAGAAGCAGTTTCTCTTGATATCGGCTGGGGTCAGTGCTCCCTGTTCTGGCTTTGACGACATTTGACATGTTATAAGCCTGAGGCAAGAGATCAGTGCCTGGATGCCCTTGAACTTGTGGAGCCCTGGAGCCTCTGCCCAGAACACAGTCTGGAAGCTTTCTGTCACCTTCCTGTTCAGGGTTTAAAGACCAAGCAAAACTTAACACTCAAGTAGACTTTAAAATGTAAGTAAAACACACAGGAGGGCTTATTTTCTCTTCGATTTGCAAAGGATTTTTAGGGTGGTTTGTGAAGTGCACTGCTTAGATTTAGGGACAGACAGAAGAAAGGCGGTGAAACCGGAGGCCACAGCATCTTGGCTCTGAGTAAACAGGGCTCGTTTCTTGGTTCTAACATCCGGGTCTGACCTGTAGAGAAACACCCATGATCTCTCTAGGCAATTTGGATTTATTAGTTGTTTTGAAGGTGTGTGTGTGTGTGTGTGTGTGTGTGTGTGTGTGTGTGTGTGTGTGTGTGTGTGTGTGCACCAGAGGACAGCCTCTGTTGTCACTCGCAGATTCTCACCAGCCTGGAGCTCGCTTGCTAAGCAGTCTAGGCTGGCCAATCAAACTGAGCCCTGAATGTTTAAAAGAGAAGCCCTTGGCCAGCGAGTCATCTTCCCAGTCATTCAGAAGTTTCCTGGAGGAATGAGAAACTAGATCTCTGGGCGAGGCGAGGACTTCATTTCCATGTCAGACCCCTGAGTTCCCCTCTTTCTGTCTGAAGTACTTCCCCTCTCCTCCCCCCACACCAAGTTGTTTCCACAAACTTTTTTTTTTTGTCTCAGCAATGACCGTCCAACTAAAGGATCCACCTGCAGGCTTTATGTGCTTCTTATGGTTGGGGTTGACAGAGTGACTGCATCTTACTGGGACAATGTTCACAGTTTACTCAGACTGCCTGACCTGAGAGCAGGAGACTGAAAAGGCACACCCAGAGGTCAGGTCTACACTGGGGCAGTAAACTCCTCCCTGAGATAGTAAGCTCCTCCCTGGGGCACCAAAGTCCTCCCTGTGGGCAGTGAGCTCCTCCCTGAGATAGTGAGCTCCTCCCTGGGGCACCGAAGTCCTCCCTGGGGGCAGTAAACTCCTCCCTGAGATAGTGAGCTCCTCCCTGGGGCACCAAAGTCCTCCCTGGGGCAGTAAACTCCTCCCTGAGATAGTGAGCTCCTCCCTGGGGCACCAAAGTCCTCCCTGGGGGTAGTGAGCTCCTCCCTGGGGGTAGTGAGCTCCTCCCTGGGGCACCAAAGTCCTCCCTGAGGGCAGTGAGCTCCTCCCTGAGATAGTGAGCTCCTCCCTGGGGCACCAAAGTCCTCCCTGGGGCAGTAAACTCCTCCCTGAGATAGTGAGCTCCTCCCTGGGGCACCAAAGTCCTCCCTGGGGGTAGTGAGCTCCTCCCTGGGGGTAGTGAGCTCCTCCCTGGGGCACCAAAGTCCTCTTTGGGTCAGTGAGCTCCTCCCTGGGGCACTAAGGTCCTCTCTGGAGGTACTTTCCTCAGGTATAGACAGCCTAGTTCTCACAATGGTGCTGGTATCCCAGGTGGGCACCAGGGCAGGGCAATTACTGTTAACTCAGATATGGGAGGCAGGCTAGCCCAGATGAGGCGTCAGGACTGAAGGTATCCACACATAGCAGGGTGCTCCCTCCTGGACCACAGATTAGGCACAAACCACACTCAAACATTTATTTTCTAAGAGAGATCCTTTATTAAACAGGGAAGAGAAGTAAAGTGTCAATTTCTGACCCAGGCAGAAAAACAGGAGCAAATGACTTTGCAGGTGTGATTTTTAAGAGGAGAAGAAGGGCTGGTCTGTGTTAAAATGGGCTAGGATGCGGTGGGGTGTTTTAATTGGGCATGTTAATTGGGGTAGCCGAAAGGGGGCTTTGAATTGCTGGGCTTCAGTACTTTGATAGCCTCAGGAATGAGCCTGGAATAAGAAAGTGTCCCAGTAAGGGAACAGAACTTGGTATCTAGTTTTAGGGATGTAATCTAGGGTTTACATGGGGGAAGGGCGAGGCCTGCCAGCCACATGTTTGCTATGCCCAGGCCAGCTAGAGCACCTTCAAGGACTGTTGTGGGTCTTGAAATGTGAGAGCAAGTCTCCCAGAGGCAGAAGGCCTCTGAATCCTGGGGACGGTGAGGCTATCTATCTTTTTATTGCTTAGCATCATCTCGGAGCCCTCTTCTGACAGCTGGGAGGTGTGAAGGTCGAATTCTGCAAAACTGGCCATGGCTGGTTGTGTGTGAGCTTCTTGCGGTAGCTGTAGCAAACCCAGAAACATGCTGGTGAGGTGCAGGGCCAGGGCCAGGCAGACAAATGGATGGATGGATGGACAGACAGCAATTTGGATGGGTCACATTAGTAGTGGACCACGCCCTCACCTCGGTCCACGGAGGCGTGATTGACAAGCTCTTGGGCCAGGTTTTTGTGATATGGTTTGAATAGGCCCATGTGCTCATGTGTTCGTAATCCACTCTGACAGTAAGACAGGGAGCTGGTGTTTGGGAGTCAGTCTTCAGTCTGGGAGAGGTGTTGGTGGTGATTCACGCAAGATGGAGAGAGCTCCCCCACTGTGGACACTCACTATGGCACCAAGTACTGCTGGTGAAGTAGGAGGGATCCAGGGAAAGGTCCAGCCGGCTCACACGGCTACTCCATAGCCTGGAGTCAGTCAGGATAGCAGATTGACCACCAAAGCTGCCGGCCTTATCTCTCTCTGACCTCGGGGATGGAAGGTAGGACGCTCGGCTTGGCCTCCAGGCTCACAGCTCAAGGAGAGCGCGGCTGATCCCTGCAGAGGAATTGGAGACCGCAGAGTTGGCAACGAAGATGGAACTGGAGGGGCAGGTGGGTGCCTGTGCCCTGGAGGCCTCTTGCCCTGAGTTCCCCTAGCGGGGACAAGGGACAGGGAGAGGAATGAGGCTGAGGGGGAGTGGCTAGTTCAGGAGAGAATGAAGAGGGTGGCAGGCAGACATGACAACATGGGGAGGGATGTAGGGGAGGCAGCTGCTGGCCCTGGAGGGAGTTCGTGGGGGAGAAAGCTTCCCGGCTCTGCATATGTTCTGTGTTGAAAGCCTGTGGGTTATTTGCGGTCTAAACTCAAGTGGCAGCCTCCTGGAGTCTGGGGAGATTTGAAGGCCTGTGCTGGTTCCTGGGCTCTGACTTCTAGCACTGGGTGAGCTGCCGGCTTTCTCTTGCGAGGGGACCGAGCCTGCTCTCTCTTCTGAGGGGCCAGGTTCCTAGCAGCTGCACCTAATGGTCCCTCCAGGGAATGCCCAGATGGTACCAGACCTTTGGCACCAGACACACTGCCACCCACCCTGAGGGTCTGCTTGTCCTTGCCAGGTGGGAAAGAGGCTGGTCCAGAGGGGTGGGCAGGGGCTGCCTGTGACCAGGCCCGTCTGTCACAGGTGAGAGCGGTGACCCAGGACAAGCGGGGAGGGTGGGAAGCCCCCTGCATTGCTTTCTGTTCCTCATCAGGACCTTGACTTCAGCATAGGTTCCGCTAGAGTTCAGAGAGGAAGGAGGAGGCGTGACTGAGGTCAAGGAAAGTGTTTATTAGGGTTCTGAGGAGGCGTCCAGCTAGGGGGCACCTGGAAGTTTCCCACAGAAACTCCCTGATACCCGGGCTGTGGAGCAGGGTTGTCAGCCTTGTGACCAGGACCTCAGGCTAGGTAGTGGCAGAGAGCAAGACAGAATCCTCTGTTGTTTGATGGAAGACACTCAAGCTTAGGCAGGGCCTCCATCTGAGGCAGCTCAGGGACTAGGGGGAGAGGTGAGGGATCCCCAGGGGATGGACCCATCAGCAGCTGGACTTCTGGGCTGAGGAGAGGCCACAGCAGGCCTGGCTGGAGCAGGCAGGGCGGCAGAGCAGGGACACGCTGGAGCAGGGCTTGCAGCAGCTGGGCTGGCAGGAGGAGGCACAGCAGGAGGAGGTGGGCACACAGCAGGCGGGTCTGCACACAGGGCGGCAGAGCAGGGACACGCTGGAGCAGGGCTTGCAGCAGACAGGCTTGCAGCACACAGGCACACAGCAGGATGGCTGGCAGCATGAGGGCTGGCAGCTAGACTGCTGGCAGCATGAGGATCCAGAGCAGATGGGTGTGCAGCAGACAGGCTTGCAGCAAAGAGTCACAGAACAGGGTGAGGAGGTGCAGCATGAGGGCTGGCAGCTAGACTGCTGGCAGCATGAGGAGGACCCAGAGCAGATGGGTGTGCAGCAGACAGGCTTGCAGCAGACAGGCACACAGCAGGAGGACTGACAGCATGAGGGCTGGCAGCTAGACTGCTGGCAGCATGGTGTGCAGGAAGATTGGCAGCAGGGGCTGGACACACAGCTCACTGGGGTGCAGATGAGGGTCAGGCAGGGGGATGGGGCACAGCAGCTGGGCTGGCAGCAGCTGGGTTGGCAGCAGCTGGGGACACAACAGCTGGGCTGGCAGCAGCTGGGTTGGCAGCAGCTGGGGACACAACAGCTGGGCTGGCAGCAGCTGGGCTCACAACAGCTCTCTGGGCAGTCGTCCACCTGCCAGGAGGAGTTGGTACAAGCGTCAGAGCAGACAGACATGGTGGAGGTGGCCGTGACTGATTGGAGGGCAGAGGGTGAGGCAAAAAGTTGTGAGTGAATGAGTGAGGTGTGCTGGTGGGTGCCACTTATATATCTCTCAAGGGTTTGTGTGTGTTTGTGTTGTCCTAGCTACAGTTCCTTGTTGATGTTGTTCATTGATGGACACCCATCAATCAAGTGGCCATGACCTGTAGCTCCGCCCATAGAACTTCCAGCTAGAGTTGAAAGGTCTGGCAGAGTCACTTCCTCTCCAGGGAGGGCAGTTTCCTGTTGTCCGCCATGACCGTCTCTTGAGGTCCCTTGCTCTGGTTCCCTGCTTCAATCCTTGGTTGAGTCATTGGCATATTTTAATCTTATTTTTTATCCTCGTTATTTGGGGATGATGGTCAGAGATCCGTGTTCATTTCCTTTATCAGCAATACTAGTACTTATAGTTCTTGCTTTGCTCTAGGATTTACTCCAACTTAGTCTATCAATATTAACTCACTAAGCCCTGCAACCTTGAGAGGGAGAGGATTTCATTATTCCTAGATAGGGACACAAGTAAGAGCTTACAGAATAGCCTGTGTCAGGCAACTCAGACACTAGGACATGGATAATTCCCATCCTGTGTTCATATCTGTCATTGTGCTCCCAAGGTACAGCAGACTAGAAAGGCAGCCTGGTGACCAGTCTCTGCCAGAGAAGTGGTCGTGGGCCAGGACACCCATCACTCAAGTAGGCAGGGCTAGAGCTGAAAGACCAGGTAGAGCTGTTTGGGACAGGGCAGGGGACTTGTCATTTGCTCTTCCAGGACTGAGTACTGGGGGCCATTTCTGATGAGAAGATGAAATAGTAGGGGCTTCAGGAATCTGCTCTGAAAAAAAAGGGGCTACTTCTACATACAGCAAGAGGACGCAGGGGCTGGAGAGATGATGGCTCAGCTGTTAAGAGCACTGGCTGCTCCTCCAGAGGTCCTGAGGTCAAGTTCCATCAACCACATGGTGGCTCACAACCATCTGTAATGAGATCTGGTGCCCTCTTCTGGTATACAGGCATACGTGCAGATAGAGCACTTGTGTATACACAATACAAATAAATAAACCTTTTAAAAATTTTTAAAAAAGAAAAAAGTAACAGGGTTCAGGTTGATCAAGAGACAGAAAGGAGAAGGAGGCTGATCAGAAGGGATGCTGGAGTTGGTGGTGTTCTCAGATGCAGGAAGCTTTATGCTGAAAATTGAGCTGTGTTTTAAGATATCTTACAACCTTCTTGCTTGTGACACTGGGGCCCTGGATGATCAAACTAGGAGGCGGGTGAGCTAGGACCTGCCTGAGAACTCGGAGAAAACCCAGTGTTATGGCTTCAATGTGAAAAATTCCCCCATGGGCTCATCGGAGTGCTATTTTGGAAGGTTGTGGAACGTTTTGAACACGAAGCAGACACGACTCTAAGAGCAGAGCTTGAGGTTCTAGTCTGGCTCTGATTGCTGCTTACTTCTGCTTCCTGGTGTGCCATGACAGAGCAAGCTGTGTCATAATCCCCATCCCTACCATAGATGGACCCCAGGTACTGCACCTTTGGGCTACCAGTACCTTCCTGGTCCAATAGAACTACTTTTTTTTTCTGTGAGCACACTCCCCACCCCCAAGGCTGCCAAGTTGTTTTTTGGGGACTTTTCACCAGTAGCAATACATGTAAGGGGAAATTGGTACCGGGAATGGGGGTTGTTGTGATAAACCTGACCACCTGACTCTTCAGCCTTTGGAAGTGGCTTGGGGAGGAATGTGGGGAGAATTTGGAGCTGTGGAGTAGAAAGGTTCTGGGGTGCTCCGAGCAGAACAAAGGGATATGCTGTCAGGAGTTCAGGAGACCAGGAATCTGAGAGAGATGCTGCAGTGAAGATCATGTCTGTGAGGAGTGTAGGAAGTACAGGAAGGAGTGTAGGAATAGTTCACATTTAACACTGGGTGGGCATGGAAGGCACAGACAAACCAGCTTTAACTGTCAAAGAGAAAAGAAAAGACAAAAGAAAAGCCAGTTTTTTCCCCCACTGGGATAATGCGAAAGGGGCCTGGAAGACATGACCCCAACGAATGAAATCACCAAGGTGTAAAAATGCAAACTTGGGCTAGAGAGATGGCTTGTAGGAATTCTGTTCATAGTCTAGCTATATTCACTTTACCAGATCCGCCACTTGCCAGTATCTTCCCTTCTGTAGACTTTATGGCCACACCCTCCACATCTCTCTCCTGCAGTCTCTCTGCCTCTTTGTGTTTCCCTCACTGTCTCATCAATCCTTCCCTCTCTCCACCCACACTTCCGATGGATGGTGCCGTCTTACGAGGATCCAAGACTCTGAGTGTGAGTGTGTATGTGTGTGTGAGAGAGAGGGGGGGAGAGGAAGAGAGAGAGAGAGAGAGAGAGAGAGAGAGAGAGAGAGAGAGAGAGAGAGAGAGAGAGAGGGAGGACAATTTGTCTCTGCCTATTCTCTCCACCATGTTGGTTCAGGTTGAACTCAGGTTGGGCACATGTGCCTTTACCCGCTGCCCATCTCGCTAGCACTTAGGTTCTTTCTGTCTTCCTCTTTTAACTCATCTGTTTCTGATGGGGTGATTCTGTTGGTGTTTCAGGTCCACTGATATTTCTTCATTCTTGCACCTGCTCTCAGGCTTGTCCAGTGTGTATTTAAATTTCAGCTATTGTACATCTCAGGTTTAGAATTCCCTTTTGTCTGATTAATTCCATCTCCTGGGAATCTCTACCTATTCACTCATGAAGATAATATTTTTCTCTTTGATCTGCGGACATAAAACAGCTGCTTGTGGTCACCGACTGCCCATCTCTGTAATGAGATCATCCCAGATTCTTTGGGCCGGTTGCTTTTACTTATGAAGGTGATTTATATCACAAAATCTCTTATGTCTGGCTATTAATAGAAATACATTTGGAGACTCTGGGCTCTATTATCTTCTTGTGACTATGGGTTTTTGTTCAAGCAGACAGGCAATTGTTAGTCGATTATTTTGAGCTTGTGTAGGTATGGTTTTAATCTCTGTGGGGGCATAAATGCGGAAAACCCACTCAGCCTCCGCTCAAGATCCCACCTATGTCTCTGAAATCCTGTGGGCTAGATTAGGTGTGGTGGGGGGTGTCAGCAGTGAGTCTTCCTCTAGATTTCAGCACAGTGACATTGGGTCCCAGTTGGATGTTGGGGAGACTACTTAGTCCCATGTGGTCCTCTGTTGTAGTCTGGCTCTGACCACCTTGCCGCAAGCTCTCTCTGGGGTACATCATGCCCATGTTCTAGATGCTTCTCCTGCCCACCTTGGGTTCCTCTCACCCACTACCCATGCTTCATTGGGATGCTGAATCAGCAGAGAGCTGGGTAAAAGTGGGTTCATTTGGCTTGGGAGCTAATGTGTGACTCTGTCTAGCCCTATTTGAGTGTGGACACCTAAGTGGGCATCTGCCATGTAGTTAAGGGAGGGCTTCTCAGCTATTGTTCATTACGTCAGGGTTTCAGGTTTGCTACACTCTACACCTTCAGTTTTCTGTTCGCAAAGGTCCTGCTGCACGCAGCAGAAGCTGTGGTTTGAGCAAGTCTTTTTGAGGACCCCTCTCTTCAGCATCAATGGGGAGCTCTGGAGGAGAAGCTAACATTATGGCAGACATCTGGTCTACCTCCTTATTAGTAGTAAGAACTTGGAAGATGTGGCCACAGTGTGCAGAGGCTAGAAGTCATTGAGGCTGGCTCTCCTACTCACAGCAACTATCCTAGAAAGAAGCCTGTAGCTTTGTTGGATGGGGTCAGGTATCCTGAAGGGATGGTCTGGCCTTGTGAACCACTTTGTGTTTCTTTCCAGTGTGATATCTCCTTCACTTCTGAAGAAAGAGGGAGAGGGCAAGCAGAGGCTGTAATGATGTTCAGACGTTGCTCACAGCAGAACCAATCATTAGATGCTAGAAACATTAGCTATGGAGCATGTTGGCAATCCTGGCCTGCATCTTCTTGCATAGCATCTTTTTCTTGTCTCAAAGCTTCATTCCTATCCAGGATGGTGTTGAAGTGGAAACAAAGAGACATGGACCCTTTCAAGAGTGACTTTAGACCCTTCTGGGTATGCTCTCTGATTTGCAGCAGGTGATGGAAGGGGCAGATGGTAATAATATATGAGTTGCCTCTGTTCTGTGGTACTGTGGCTATAGAAGGGCATGTCCAGTGCCAGGGAAGAAGAGTCAGTCTCACATGGATGCCTGAATCTCCTCATCTCATCCAGAGAGGCATCCAAAGACCTAGGGCCAACTCAGACACCTCTTCCCCAACCCCAGGTGACTTGTGTAGATACCTACAGGCCCTACTGTAGTACTGCCTTTTATGATGGTACTTGCTGAACATGCCAAAAAGGAGGACTGGGCTTGGCTTCAGCATAGGTTCAGGCTGTGGTCTTTGTGAACCTATATTGGCTTTATCTGCTTTCTGAGGATGTGGTTGGTCCAACCCGGATGAGGGTACTCACTGTGTTCAGGCTCCTATGTATTGCAGAGCCTTCCAGACCACAGGAAAAGAATAATCTCTGTGTTGTGGGAGGACTGTCATCCCACAGGGAGGATATCTGGACTCCTGGACTTCTATGAGCTCACATGAGGAAACTGGGAATTCACGGGGCATGGAAGAGTCCATATAGTACTAGGAGATGATGGCTTGGGAGCCCAGATGTAGCAGCAGCTAGAATGCTGTATTAGTCATGGAGCTAAGCAAATAAAACAGGATTACAGACAACAGCAAAGTCAACCTGGGAGGAGAGAGGAAGCAAACAAGGAAGACCAGCTGCATTCTGGGTGTTCTGGGACACTGAGCTGGGTATAAAAGCCATGCCAGTAAGGAGCTCCAGTCATCTCCACCCTCCTCTAGACCAGCCAGCCTCCACCATGTGTGACACCAGCTGCTCCTCAAGCTGCCAGCCATCCTGCTGCGTGTCCAGCCCCTGCCAGCCATCCTGCTGCAGGCCTGCTGTATGCATTCCTGTGAGATACCAAGTGGCCTACTGTGTGCCTGTGAGCTGTAGGCCCACTGTGTGCGTGGCCCCCTCCTGCCAGTCCTCTGTGTGTGTGCCTGTGAGCTGCCGGCCTGTCTGTGTGACCTCCGCCTGTCAGTCATCTGGATGCTGCCAGCCCTCCTGCCCCACCCTGGTCTGCAGACCTGTCACCTGTGGCACCCCCTCCTGCTGCTGACCAGTGTCTCCAAAACAGCTGCTGCCAGTGCACATGGGACACATCTATCCCTTCCCTCTGAGGCGGTGGCTCTGCACCTGAAGCAGGTTGGAAGCACGCATAGCTCACCCTGGAACTCGGGAGAGAACACAGGAATGATACCGATAACCCCTCCCCCACCCTTCTCTAAGGGTGTCCTGGCTCCAGGATCCTTCTCTTGCCCCACATGCCAAATAAAAGAGCTTGTCTAGTCAGCTGTGCATGTCTGTCCTGGTCCCTGTCTGTCTCTCCTGGCTTCACTGGCATCAGGAAGCGTGTAAGATCAGTGGTTTCTGCCATGCAGCCTCCCCTTGGTTCCTTAGGAGGAAGCACGCAGGGTGGAGGACATGGCTGATGAGTGGGTGTGTTTGTGCCCCTGGCATCCCGGTGGGCCCTGCGATGGGCTCACTGTTATCTCACCGCAGTGTCTGCTCCTGCTTGTCTTTCAAATGGTACCTGTAGTGGGGGCTCATGCATGGTGAGTCCTGGCGTGTTTATGAAAGGTTTTCTATTTCCCCTGGGGATGTCCCGTGTCCTGGTCACAGTGACTTTCTTCCTCCCGAGCAGCTCTGAGATGTTTGAATTTCGGTTATACAAGCTGGTGTGCTCCGAGTCACTTTCTCAGTACTGGGCAAATTTATGCCCGTTTTCTTATTGTTGATAAATTACAAATATGACAGACACACATCTAGTCAGTCCCCCATAAAGCGGTTGGAACACACATGTCCCACTAACTTCTTGGGGTGGCCCCTGCTGGAGGCACATGCGTGCCGTTCTGTGTCTTTTCACTCTGTGGCGTGGGTCACATTTGTGTCTTCCAACGCATGCTTTCTACTTCAGAGGGTCTTCAATGATCGTGTGGGTTCCTCTGTTTCTCTTCCTGGGACAACATAGCCAATGACACTAACCTGAAGGAAGGATTTATTCTGGCTCACGGTTTGAGGGTATGTCCCTTCCTGATGGGACAGTCACGGGGACAAGAGCGTGAGGTGGTTGATCGCATTGCGTCTGCAGTCAGGAAGCAGAGTGAGGCTTGCTGGTACTTGGTTGGCTTCCTCCTTTTATTTGGTCTGGAATCCCAGCCCTCAAAATAGCGCTTGTGCTGCCTACATTTAGGGGGAGCCGTTCCTCCTCAGTGAAACCTTTCTGAAATTCTAATCATCAGCATACCCAGAAGCACGTTTCCATGGTGACTTTAAATGCTATTATGTTAACATGGAGATGGCCCATCACAGCTACAGCTAACTTTGGGGAAGGTTTTCCTTGGGAAGTGTTGATGACTGTGTTTCCATTGGCCTACTCTATGCCCAGTCTCTGTAGTCTGTTGTGACTGTTCCTTGTGGAAGTTCCTGTGACAGGTAGGCATGTGAGTCTCAGCCTCTGCTGCATCCGGTGACATCATCTTGGACCTGTGGTCCTGGAGTTCTCACTTTTGGCTACCTTGACCTTTTCTTATTCCCTGCAGGCCGGCCCTGAGACATGAGTCGTAAATGTTGTTTTATCCCTTAGCATCCAAAATCGTCAGGGCTCTACTGTGCTGTTTAAATAAGTGTTTTTTTTCCCTAAAGCTGACTGACACACAGCATACTTCATGTACCTATGGTGTGTTTACACCCAGGTTACATACATACACACGTACGCACATATGATCTTATACTCAAGCCCCCGTGAACATAAAGGACATACATGAAGAGATGCTCACACACACACGTGTGTGTGCTCACTCATACCAATGTACTCGGGTACTCATACTAAAACATACATTCCCACGCCCATGTGTTTTAGCACATTCACACATTCACACTTCCTCATATGCATGCATGCTTCTGCACGCACACAGCCATGCTCATCTCTGCGCACTTACACACCTTTTGCTCAAGCACGCATGTGAACCATTCTGGTCCGTCATCTGAGAGGGGAAGGCATCGTAAGAATGTCCCACTGCTGCTCAGAGACACGGGCAGAGGCCCTGCCAGTCCCGCAGTGTTGACTTTTCTCATCACTGTGACACAATAAAGGACAAAACACTTAAAAGGGACAGGATTGATCTTGGCTCGTGTTCTCATTCTGGAGCCTTTGATGGGTAGGGTCTGGCCGGTTTTCTGTTGTCCCCGGATGAAGTGGCTGGCTTCTCTTTAATGGCATTAACCTCTTTAACAGTCACACCCTCCACAGCCACTGCTTTCTGACTGCTCCCTCTCTGGCTGGGCTGCATGGTTTTTTAATCTTTCTGCTCTGCTTTTAGTTCCTGATTCTCACTGTAAATCTGTCTAAAAGCCCCCAGCAATAACTGGGCCACTGTGTGAATTCTTTGCTGTCTTGAAATTTATCCCACGTAGTTAATTTAGCCGTCACTATGAACCCAGCCTTGCATAGTGCTTCCGGACATAGAGGAATTTCTCTTGCAGACTGTCCTCTGGATGACTTCTGGTCCAGTTCCCAACAGCATCCTGAAATTTGATGAGTACATCCTCTTCTCGATTTTCCGTTGGCGTCTCGGTCTTGAGGCCTCATTAGCTCTTTGTAGCATTTGAGTTTTAGAATAAATAGCTATAGCATATAAAGCCCCTATGTCAAAACTCCTACACAGTCTATCCAGACGCCAGGCCTGAGAACCACATAGTCAGGGTTAGTCACAGAAGTATCCCGACTACTCTGTCCAGTTTTCTGTATTAGTTATTTTTGTATAACTATGATGAATAAAGCAGCTTAAAGGGTACAGGAGGTTTTCAGCTCCTGGAGTCAGAGAATTCAGTCCGTCATGGGGAGCACAACAGTCACAATGGCCACAAAAGAGAGACGAGAATACTGGCAACTGATTAGCTTTCTTCTCTTTTTCCCCACTTTTATCCTGGCCCACGGGGGGGGGGGGCAACCCCTTCACAGACAGTCTAGACTCTCAGTTAATTCTCCCTGGAAACTCTCACAGGCATGCCGGAGATGTGCCTGTGTCTCCTAGGAGATTCTAAATCTGTTCGTGTTGATAGTGAAGATGAACCTTCTTACTGTCCCCCATAGCACTGGTTCTCAGGCCTCTCCCTGCCTCCTTCTGGTTGCTAGGGTCTGGGGGTTGGGGTCTGGGAGAGGGTTCAGAACAAGAGAGAGCAGAAAGAGAATGGAGTCAACACTTTGATCATTCAAGGGGAGGTCTGGTTTTCTTTACAGCCATGAGGAAAGACAATGAGACTAGGAAATGGGAGTTGAGGCAGTGCCCAAGAGGTTTGGAGAGGTGAGACCATCCCTAAATCAACACAGTCATGATGGAGTCTTGGCCAGGGTTCTGTTCTGGGCTTGAGGGCCTGAAGAGGAGAGATGAGCATCACACAGAGGAACCACAAGCGAGGGCTGGTGGAGTCAGGAAGGCAGGAGTACTGGCAACACCCTGGAGACTGGCAGCTAGCGGGCTCACTGCAGGCCAGCTGGCAGGAGGCAGACACTGGGCACAGAGTCCATCTCAACAGAGCCCCACTTGGGGTCTGTGGCAGCAGTTCTCACAGCCTTGGGAGGGCAGCAGGCAGTGGTGAGGCAGCACAGAGACACAGGACAGGCAGCAGGAGGCCAACCGTTCATCTTCAGATGGTTGGGACTGGGGAAGGCTTGGGTGGGAAAGGGAACAGGCCTTTGATGGCATATGGTCACACATAGACATGCAGTCCTGGACACACATGTATGGTTATGCATGTATTTACATTCAGACATATACAATGTACAAACTCTGAACCTCATGTGCACATATGTATGCATGCGTGTGTGTGCGTGTGTGAATACACACAAACACACATACACACACACACACGACAGAAACAAGAGCTGCCCTCCATGCTCTTGCTTCTGCCTGCTGACTCCAGCTGCGGGAGAACTTCTGGACGCCTGGACCTCTGGGATCTCCTGTGAGGAAACCAGGAAGTGATGGAGCTTGGTAGAATTCAGAAGGCCCCAGGGGGGATGAGTGGGAGCCCAGACCCAGCAGGAGCTGGAGCAGGTATAATTAGCCATGAAGCTGAGGGCAAACAAAGCAGGAACATAGACATCAGCAAAGCCAACTGGGAGACAGAGGAAGAAAATAAGGAAGAGCAGCTGCATTCTGGGTAGTTGGGTCACTGAGCTGGGTATAAAAGCCACCTTGGGAAGGAGCTCCTGACATCTTCACCCTTGTCCAGACCAGCCAGCCTCCACCATGTGTGACACCAGCTGCTCCTCAGGCTGCCAGCCATCCTGCTGCGTGTCCAGCCCCTGCCAGCCATCCTGCTGCGTGTCCAGCCCCTGCCAGCCATCCTGCTGCAGGCCTGCTGTATGCATTCCTGTGAGATACCAGGTGGCTTACTGTGTGCCTGTGAGCTGTAGGCCCACTGTGTGCATGGCTCCCTCCTGCCAGTCCTCTGTGTGTGTGCCAGTGAGCTGCCGGCCAGTCTGTGTGACCTCCACCTGCCAGTCATCTGGGTGCTGCCAGCCGTCCTGCCCCACCCTGGTCTGCAGACCTGTCAACTGTAGCACCCCCTCCTGCTGCTGACCGGTGCCCCAAAACAACTGCTGCCACTGTAGACAGGACACACCTATGCCCACCTACCTCCTCCTTCTGTGACTGTGGGTTTGACGTGAGGCAAGTGGGGAAGCATGCCCAGCCCACTCTGGAACTGTGAGAAAATGCCCGTTATTCTCTAAGAACAATGTCCTACCTCTCTTACCTATTGTGACAAATAAAGTGGCTTCCTTCATCACCTCTACATGTCTGTCTTGACTCCTGTCTGTCTGCGTAGATGCTTTAGTATCAGAAAGCACGTAACATCAGTGCTGTCTGAGATCCAGCCTCACACTGGCTCTTCAGTAGATGGAATGCAGGACAGAGGACATGGTCTGATAAAGTGGATGTGGTCATGTCCCTGTCCTGTCTGTCTGCCCTTGGACGTGTGGCCCCTGCCCCGGACTCTCATCTCTCGTGGCTCCATCCTGCCTCCCCTAGTTCTCCTTCTCCAGGGCAACAGGGTTTGCACAGTGGCAGCTGTAGATAGGCTGGGCTGTCCAGGGCTGTGCCTCCCTCTGCTCTTGGGAAGCCCCGTGGCACGCATCATAGTGACTTTCTTTCTGCCAGGCAGTTTTCAAAAGCTGGGCCTTGGTTATGTGACTGAACTTGTCGTCAAGCACCACCACTGTGGCACGCCTGCCTGTTTGTTCCTGATTGATGATCGGATATAATAATCACTTCACGTCACTTCTGGTGTGGACACTGGACACATCGTCCAGCTTCCACTCATGTCTTGGTGCAGCTGCCTCTAGAGTCAGGTGAGCTCTGTCCTGTGTTTTCAGAGGATTGAGTGAGCTGTGTCCTGCCTCAGACTGGCACCTCTCCGTTGCTCATAGCTGCGATGCCGACATGCTGGGGTTACCCTTTCCCTGTGTAATGTTGGTTACAGCCCCGCTCTCCAGTGCAAGCTCCACCCCCAGTCTCCTGTGGTCTGTTTTGCTCATTCCTCACAGAACAGCAGGTGTACAGTTCCTAGGCTCTGCTGAAACCCCACAGACTGTCCCAAACCAGCCCCTCTGTGGAGGTCTCACTGCTGGCCAGCTTTTGTAATACATGAGCTGTAAAAAGTCATTTCATAACCTAGATGCCTAGGTGGTCAAGAACACACTGTTGGCTAAATGAGGGATCAAAATGAAACTAAGTCAGAAATAGAATCAGTCATCATGGGATAATAGTCCTGAACACACACACCCCACTTCATGTGTACACATGGGCCAGTACACACACAATCATACACATATGCACTCTTATACCTACTCCCTCATGCACTCAGAATCACACAGTGGCATGCAATCACACGGAGAAAACTGCCCATGTATAAACATTCAGTTACCACAATCTTCACACATTTCTGTGCCTCTTTCATACTTAAGCACACACACACACACACATGCATACGCACATGCACGCTCCCTCAAACATATTTATATTTTATGAAATATCTGTGTACGTATATCCATATACCCTGTGTGCTCTACACTCACACATGCATGGATTCTGGTGTCTCATTGGAAGGTGAAGGTAGATTTAGAGACTGAGAAACAAAGGGATTCTCTGATAGTTAATATTGACTATCGACTTGACTGGATCTTTAATCTGTAAGAGACATCTCTGTGCATGCCTGTGAGCAATTATCTGGATTAGGATAATGGAAGTAGGGAGACCCACCCTAAATGTGATGACACCAACCATGGACTGGGGTCTGGGCTGAAGAAAACAGAGAGAATGAGCAGATTGGCAGCGTGCCCCCCTCTGGTGAGCACCGGCATTCTCTCTCTGTGTGATAGCCAATGCAATGTGGCCAGTTGCCATGACTTCCTCACCATGACTGGCTTTAACCCCTTGACCCACAGTTGATGAAATAAGTCCTTCCTTGTTGAGTATTTCATCACAGTGAAAAGTAACTAATAAAAAGTCTGGTGCTCTTTGCTGCTGACACTAGTGTGATCCACAGGTCTGGCCAGTCCTTGTGTGTTTACTTTTCTTACCATGGTGGCAGGAAAGAGCAACTTGGCTCAAGTTCTCATCCTGAGCCTTTGAAAGGTGGGGTCTGGCTAATTTCTTGTTGTCCCAGTGCCAAGTGGCTTCCTTTTAATGGTGTTAATCTCCTTAACAACCACACTCTGTGCCCAACCAAAGCATGCTAACTGCACCTGTTCCGGCCAGGCTGCCTAATTAATTTTCTTTCTTTTTCTTCCTTCCTTCCTTGATTCATTTCTTCTCTCTCTCTCTCCCTCTCCCTCCCTTCCACCTCCTCTCTTCTTCTTTTTTCTTTTTCTTTTTTTTGTTTTTTTTTTGCGAGACAGGGTTTCTCTGTATTGTTTTGGAGGCTGACGGTCCAGCCTGGCCTCGAACTCACAGAGATCTGCCTGCCTCTGCCTCCCGAGTGCTGGGATTAAAGGCGTGTGCCACCACCACCTGGCTCCTCTCTTCTTTTAAAAATCTTAATTCTCGTTATTTATCTGGCTAAAAGCAGTCAGCAATAACCAAGCCACCATCTTTGCTATCCTGAGTTTTTTCCCACAAAATTAGTTTGTTCATCACTTGAAACTTGCCCTCTGACACGATCAAAGGCACAGAGATCCTTTCCAAGAGTACTGTACAAATGGCCTCTGATCCCTTTCTTCTATTTGAAAATGTCATGAACACACCCTCCTGTCTGAATTTCTGTTGGTATTCTGGTCTTCTGTGTCTCACCAGGAAGTCCCATTGATTTTATTTATAGCACCCTAGGGCTTACAAAGCTAAAACTTTTACACATTCTACCCACAAAGGAATCAAAGGCCCAAGAACCACAGGGCCACCATTAGTCACAACAGAGTCCTGACTTTTACTCATCTTTTCTGCTAGTTGCCTTTGTATTTGTTGTAATAAAATGCTCAGTGCAGCCACTTAAAGGACGGAAGGAGTTATTTTGGCTCCCGGTCTCAGAGGGTTCAGCCTGGTGTAGGTGGCAGAGCATGTCATGATGGACCGTGAAACAGCAGGTTAGGAATGGTGTGGCTTGCTTGGCTTTCTCCATTCCCATGTGTAGTTCATCTAGTCCTTCAGTTCCTCAGCCCATGGGATGGTGCTGCCAGAGTCAATGAGGTCTATCCTCTCAGCCATTCCTCCATGAAAACACATGGACAGGTCTAGAGTGTGCCTCCATCTCCCAGGAGATTCTAAAAGGGTTGTTTACCTCTGCCTTTTATAGCACTCTGTCCTCATGCACACCAGAAGAGGGCATCAGATCCCAGATGGTTGTGAGCCACCATGTGGATGCTGGGATTTGAACTCAGGACCTCTGGAAAAGCAGTCAGTGTTCTTAAGCCCTGAGCCATCTCTCCAGCCTCTCTTAGGAGAGTTTAAATCCATTAAGTTGACAGTGAGGAAAAACCATCACCCCATCCTCTTCAGCACGGCCCCCAGCTTTCTCCCAGCCTCTTTTTATGTTCCCCAAAGGGCGGTTCCTAAAAGGCAGGTTCAGAACATGAGAGAGTGGAAATAGAATGAGGTTGGATACATTTCTGCATTTGGGCAGAAGTCTAATTTTACTCAATGTCAGGAGAAAAGAATAACAAGAATAGGAAAGGGAAGTTTGGGTATGTTCCTGCTCCAGAGGAATGAAGTTAGGGGACAGCTGAGCCCCTTCCTAGCTCTACCTGATCATGACAGATAGTTCTCACCTAGGGAGATGATGTTGACAGTCCTAGTATTTGAGTGACCAGAGAAGAGAGCTCCGGAGCAGGTGGGGTTGCCATCGGGGAGGAGCCTGCAGAACAGCCCTCAGAACCCAGGGAATGCAGAGTCCCAGCAGGTCAGCTTGCAGGAGGCAGCAACAGGGCACGGGGCACAACCTTAGCGTGGGTCACAGCCCATGGAGGAGAAGCAGGGAAACATTCTAGAGAGCCATTCATGTACCTGAGGGCTGGTCTGGGAGGGGTGCTGGAGAGAGGAAGAAACAGGTCTACACATGAGTGCTCACACATGGAAATACAGTCCTGTGTACACATGTATTTACACACAGATACACACTCATGCATAAACTCTGAACCTCACGTGTGTTTGAGCTCATGTGCATGCTCACATTATCTTACATTCAGTCCCTCCACACATACGCACACACGCATGCACGCATGCATGCACGCACCCACAAGCACATGCATGCACCCCCCACATGCACGCACACACGCATGCACGCACACATGCACGCATGCACGCACACATGCACGCATGCACGCACCCACAAACACATGCACGTACCCACAAACACATGCATGCACCCCACACACATGTACGCACGCACGCACGCACACACGCACGCACGCACACATGCACGCATGCACGCACCCACAAACACATGCATGCACCCCCCCCACACATACGCATGCACACTGATTCCCAGCTGTTCTCCATGCTCTTCCTATCTGCTGTCTGACGTCATCTCTGAGCTACATCATGCTCTATCAGGAGATGCTCCCTGTGTCAGCCTCCCCCACTTGGTAAAGGCAAACCCTTCCCAACCGTAGGAGAAGTACAGCATCTGGTTGTGCAAGGACTATAGGGCCATGGGGAGGGGCATCTGATCCCCTGGATCGTTTTGGGGTATCACAAAAAAGAATTTGTGAACAGCAACAGAGTAAGTCTGAATAGAGAAGGTGCTGGAAAAGCCCAGGTGTAGAAGGAGCGTGGAGGAGGTATAATTAACTATGAAGCCAAGGGAGAAACAAAAACAGAAACACAGACACAACAAAACCAGCTGGGAAGGACAAAGGAAGCAAATAAGGAAAACCAGTTGCATTCTGGGTAGTTGGGGGACACTGAGCTGGGTATAAAAGCCACCCCAGGAAGGAGCTCCAGTCATCTCCACCCACCTCCAGACCAGCCAGCCTTCACCATGTGTGACACCAGCTGCTCCTCAGGCTGCCAGCCATCCTGCTGCGTGTCCAGCCCCTGCCAGCCATCCTGCTGCGTGTCCAGCCCCTGCCAGCCATCCTGCTGCGTGTCCAGCCCCTGCCAGCCATCCTGCTGCAGGCCTGCTGTATGCATTCCTGTGAGATACCAGGTGGCTTACTGTGTGCCTGTGAGCTGTAGGCCCACTGTGTGCATGGCCCCCTCCTGCCAGTCCTCTGTGTGTGTGCCAGTGAGCTGCCGGCCTATCTGTGTGACCTCCTCCTGTCAGTCATCTGGGTGCTGCCAGCCCTCCTGCCCCACCCTGGTCTGCAGACCTGTCACCTGTGGCACCCCTTCTTGCTGCTGACCAGTGCCCCAGTGAAGATGGGACAACCTGTCCTCTGCTAGCACCTGTCCTCTGGCTGCTGGTTCAGCACATGAGGCAGATGGGAAGCCCATCCTACCCACCATTGGAACTCTGGGGGAGAACATGGAAGAGTTATCTGGATCCCCCTCTCCTTGCCCTTTGAAGGGTTCCCAGGCTCCAGAGCCATCTCTAACGTTTAGTACCAAATAAACCAGTTTCTCCAGATCAACTCTACATTTCTGTCCTGTTTCACGTCTGTCTTTCTTGACTGCTCTCATAGCAGAAAAGATGTAAGGTTAACGCTTTTATGACCCAATGTCACAAGGTGTGGGACACAGAAGGGGGTGTGGCCTGATCAAGCGAGCGTGGTCAGGTCCATGGACTCCTCCTCCCCCATGGCTCTGTCCCCCACCTACCCCCTCTCTAAGAGCTCTTGCCCCAAGAGCTTCCTGGATGGAGAATGCTCAGTGTCCTCCTCCAGCTTCTCCTCCTTGGTGGTTTTGTGCCGTGGGTCATGGTGACTCTCTTCACCTCGGGCAAGCTTCGGAATGCCGGAATCTGAGATGTGGACTTGGTTGTCTCTCTTCTACCTTCTCATCTCTGGTCCCAAGGTGCCCATTTTCTTGCGGCTGGTGATCCATTATATGTCATAAACGTGCAGTCAACACAGACTGTTCCTGCCGCTTCCGCGGGGAGGCACGGGGTGCAGGCCTGATGCCTCTTTGCCCCTTTGGTGTTAGTTGCTTATCACCCTGATAAAAACCCCCAACAAAACAAAACCTAAAAGAGGAAGGCGCTATTTAGGCTCACGGGTTTAGAGAGCTCACTATCTTGTGACTGAGGGCAGAGAGTGGAGTTTTTATCATGGTGGTCAGGAATCAGAGAGCAGGGGTGGGGTGCGGGGGGGGGGGCGGGATGCTGGTGCTCTGCTCTTTCCTTGTCCCCGATTGCGTCTAGTTCTGCCCTCTAGCCTATGGCACTGCGTCTGCCCACCTTCAGGATGGCTCTTTCCCACCTCGATCATTCCTGTCTAGGAAAGCCTTCACAGACATGCCCAGTGGCTCGTCTCAGTCTCCTGTGGGAGTCTAAGTCCAGTCAAGTTGTCAATGAAGGTTAGCATTCAGATATCAGCTGAGGTCAACTTGGCAACCACAAGCCTCACTTTAAATCAGCATTGCACCCCTGGCTCCCCCAAATTCATGCCCATCTCATGGTGAAAAAAAAACCACCCATTCCATCTGTGACCCCCAATAGTCTTAACAGTTTCCACACAGCTCAGATGTTAAGTGTCTTTAGTGGTTCAAGGAAAACTATTTTTAAAATTAATTTTTAGAATCTCTAACTGTTCTTTATATGTGTTTTTCTCATTTTACCCCATCTCCCTTCTTTTATCTCCTTCTATCTTCCAGATATCTCCCCTCCTACTCATTTTAATACCCCCCCCCCATACACACTGAGTTTAACTAGGTTTGTATGAGCATGTCAGGGCTGGGGAGTTATTTACTGACTTGGGAAACTTACCTAACTTACCCTACTGAAGAAATTGACCCCATGCTCCCAGCAGCCACTGACTGCCACTAGCTCCTCAGCCGAGGGAGGGGCCTCTTATGCTTCTGCAAAACCACGCTGGACGATGGACGGCTTTAGTCTGTCCAGGTAGCCACGCTGGACGATGGACGGCTTTAGTCTGTCCAGGTAGCCACGCTGGACGATGGATGGCTTTAGCTGGATGATGGACGGCTTTAGTCTGTCCAGGAAACCACTCAGCTTCATGACTGTAGCAGCCTTGTCCTGTCCAGAAGCCTTACGCGACATTCCTCCCCCTCCTCTTTCCACTCCATCTTGTCTGCTGTGACGTTTGCTGGGCCTTTGGGAAGAGAGAACATAGGTGTTCCATCTAGGGATGAGCAGCCAACAGCCTCCTACTCAGCGCTTTGACCTGTTAGGGATCTCTGTAGCCGTGGCTGCGCACTATAAAGGGAGGCTTCTGAGCAAGGCTGAGAGCAGCCTCCATCTATGGGCGTAAACACAGGCATTTGGAAGGCATCCTGACAGCAGATCAGTTTGTTTTTCTTCCAGACAGGGTTTCACCGTGTAGCTCTCACTGTCCTAGAGCTCACTCTGTAGAGCAGACTGTCCTCGAACTCAGAGATCTGCCTGCGAGTGCTGGGATGTAAAGGCACGTGCCCACTTATAAAAGCAGTACTAGTAGGTTCCCTAGATGTAAATTCTTAGCTGTGAGTCCCTATAACAGCAAAATCAAATTACATGCATACAACATTCAATGCCTGGGTGCACAACACCATTCCAGAATAAACCAATGGGGCATAGAAGGGAGAAGTCAGACTGAAGTCAGCATGGCCGATAGCAAATCTACAGCACCATGTTGGGCCTCTGAGGTAGGTCCTCATGTGACGACACATGGGCTTGGGCTGCCCCTCCACACCTCCTGGCTGGTTGGAGCCCCTCCCGACTCTCCGTTGGGTGACTCCCCTTTTTATTTGTGGCTCTCCTTGGCAGATGGACTTGGTACCTCTGATGCTGTTGGGTCTCCATGTAGCTCAGGGTTCACCTCACAACACCACACAGCCCCCTCTCAGAGACTCCTCACAGATATTCAGAACCTACTGTACATTTCCTGGATCTTCAGGCTTTTATTAAAAATGTAGGGGCGGGCCTCCGTGACCAGAGAGAGCTCTTACATATAGCATGCCTACAAAAAAGCACCACACGGATGACACTGGGGTGTGACGTCAGGTTGAACAGTAGCCAGGCCCCCATAGATCATGACTGCAGTGTCATATGAGGGCCTAGTGAGTGAAAAACACTTCCACTCACCTCTGAGTGTGGCTAGGGCCATGCCTGAGGCCCCTCATCTCAAGGGGGATGTTTTCCAAATGAACTTACAATTTTTCACCCTGGTACCCAAAATAAGAGAGAATGTGAGTTTGTCATTGCCTCAGTGTAAGAGGTCAGCTTCCCCCCCACCTAGGTAGGCAAGGTTTATTGTGGGTTATGAGGAGCTGTGGCCATACAAAGATGGTGGGGTAGTGGGCAGAGAGCACCATTTGACGCTCATGGGAAGCTTCTCGGAGCAGGAAGGGAATTACGGGCCTATGCAGGATATCTCTCAGGCAGCTGAGTGCTTTCCTCTGGTCTAGATGGTATTCTGAGTCAAGACCACCGTGAAAAAAGAGGGCCAAGGGAGGCATTGCATCATGATTACAAAGCCAGTCCAGGACCTGAAGAGCCACGTGGATGGAGACGTTGCTAGCTGGCAGATGATAAAAATGGCCACTGTTAGCCCAACTCATTGAGCTTCATAGGTGTGGGGGGACATGTAGAAAGACTTGTTGATGTAATAGACCATCCATGCAGTAAAGCCTGGAAGTAAGTGCAGTTCTTGATGCTTTGCAAGAGCATAGTTCTGTCAGAGAAGGAGTACATGAAAAGCATCTTCAGCAGGGGCCTGATAAAGTAGAATGAGGGACAGATGGAGGCTAGATGGACCTCTGTGTGTTCACTGAATATGAAGTCATATTGTGACCATAGATGATGGGTACCCAGAAGTAGAAGAATAGATAGGTGACATTAGCTTTTCTTTAATGCTAGTTTCTTTAACAACCACTCTCTGATTATCCACACTTAAGCTTGTTCTCTTTCTGGGTAGACTGTATGTTTTCCAGATCCTTCTGCTCTATTCTTTGTATCTGATACTCACTGTAAACCTGGCTAAAACCAGCCAGCAATAACCATGCAACTACATGAAGGCTTTGCTGTCATGAATTTCCTTCACCAAATTTGTTTAAACTCATACAGTGTTTCTAAGACACAGACAAAATGTGAATAATTCTTTTGCCAGAATATAATACAACAGATGTATAATCCTGCTTCCAATACAGCCCCTGCTTCCTTCAGAAACCTCACGAGTACACATGTTACTGTCTGAGTGCGTCTTTACAGGCATTCTGACCTGAGTCCTAAGAGGCTTGGACATTGTGGACAAGGAAGGTGTGTTGTTCAGGTTGCACCTTGCTCATAGAATTCTACGGCTTCAACAGCCCACAGCTCCAAACCCTGACACGTTGCTTCCCCGGGCCAGCTTCAGACACATGAGAGCCAAACTGCCAGGGTTAGTCATGATGATGTCCTGACTTTCCCTGCACCAGTTTTCCGTATTTTGTGTTTTTGCATTGCAGTGGTTATTTTTAAAATGCACTTGAGAGGTGGGAAGGCTTACCTTGACTCTCAGTTTCAGAATTCAGGACATCATTGTGGATTAGAGCCCTTCATACCACGATGGACCAGGAAAGAGAGAATCAGGAATTATAGCACTTGCCCGTCTTTCTCCTTTTTCCACACCCACTCTGTCCTGGTCCCTAACCAAGGGGACAACATCACACATTTAAGGAAGGTCTAACCTCTCAGTAATCCTTCCTGGAAACGCTCTAACAGACATGGCCTGAGATGGGCCCCAGTGGTTCTGTACTGTTAGGTAGACCTTCCAACACCAGCATGGGCTTTGGGCCTTCCCAGTCTCTTTCTGCTGTTCCGATGTCCTCCAAAGAGAAGAGGCAGGTTCAGAATATGACAGGAGCAGGAAAGGAAGAAGGTAGATAAAGCCCTTCTTGGAGGCTCAGTTATCACCTGGGCCCAGGACCACAGCAGCAGGTCCAGAGTTTGAGGGCCTGGAGGGGAGAGGTCAACAGCAGGCAGAGGAGCTACACAGGAGGTCTCCGCAGCAGTGGGCATGACAGGAGGCTGGCAGCAGCCTAGGCACTGGCAGCTTACAAGTCAGCTGGCAGGAGGCAGACACAGGGCTCAGAGCTCATCTCAACAGATCCCCAGGAAGGCAGCAGGCACTGGTGAAGCAGCAAGACACACAGGACAGGCAGCAGGTGGCCTGAGGAGCAGTTCATGCAGTATAGGTGAGGGACTGGGTAAGGTCTGGGTGGAAAAGGGAACAGGCCTTTGGTGGCACATGGTCACCACAGACATAC